GAAACAACATTTCGATGATGTACTAACTTTGGAAGAGAAGAAAAAGAAAGCGAAACGGGCAATAAAACGGCAGATGGTAGTTTACGATTAATTTAGCCTAAAATCAATGTAGAAACAGTTCTAATATTATGGCAAAAAGAAAACCATCCTTATTTTTTGATTACACAAACACTATGAGAAACGGTGGCAGCCTTTCTCCCAAGCGTCGAAGCGAGGTGCCTGCTTCTTTTATTGACGCTGTTATTTTGCTTTAAGCTCAAAGACATTGGTTCAGTCAATTTTGTTGTGTAGCCGTGCAAAGTTACGATAACATGTGTTGCTCTAAAAGTAGCCAGACGCGGTTATTGCCTTTTGGAACCTGGCTTCAACATGAGACATATGAAAATAGTGTCAATTGTGTCGCCACAGCTACGTCGACAAAAAATGAATGAAGTGGTTTATCTGGTAAACTCGAAATAAACCTGACTAAACAAATACAGCGTCTAGATAGTGAGTAATTGCCGTCTGAAAACTCAGGTCATTGCTGGTATTCCGGGGCTCTCTGTAGGAGTTAGTGTGAACGGCCATGTGGTGTGGCGCGAAGGTTTTGGTTTCGCTAACGTAGAGAGTGGAAGCCAATGCACGGGAGACACGGTAGTTTTCTTGTTCTATTGAAAATCATAACCCAAGATTGATAAACCCCTACTGATAGGTAATGCGCATTGCCAGCATCAGTAAACCCATAACAGCGACTATAGCTGCAAGACTTGTTCAAAGTGGCAAACTCGATTTGGATAAACCAATACAGGTAGGTACAAAGTCGTCTCGGTTATCTCGAGCCGAATGTTTGATGTGATACTACCAAGAGCGACTGTGTTTGCCGCAAAAAATTGATGTGTCTCCTAGGATTATCTCCCAGACTTTCCCCAGAAGAAGTATGATGGCAAACCTGTTACAATATCTGTCCGTCAACTACTATCTCATACTGGAGGTATACGGCACTACAAAAAGGAAAAGGTACACATTTCTATCCTTTTTTGAGCTTGCGACTTTTGAAGTTTACCTTTGCTGATAATTTCATAACGACTATAGTAGGTTTATATATATATATATATATATATATATA